CATGGCCTGCCAGTTAAAAAACAAACAGACAAACACCCCCCCCCCAAATTACTGGGACTTCATAATGAAATTAAATTTTGGTCAACACTGCCTCCTAACCCTAGACTCCCCTCTCCTGGTTAGGCTTCAGCTTCACAAGAACTTCTAACACATCACCCCAAGGGCAGGCTCGATTGCCCCAACTGGGCTTCTTGCCAGCCCCTTTGGACCAACCCCAGCACTGCTGGGCATAAGTAGGCCAGAAAAGGACCTGTAAGAGCCACAGTGCTAAATCCCCTGCTTTAGCAGGTACTACATCAGTCTTTCACCAGCTGATCAAATGCCATTTCAGTAGTCAGGCATTTTGCACCCCTGCTACTCCAATAGGAAGGCTGTTCAGAACCTCACTCTGACATGAGTACCAGCCTCTTGCAGAGTGTTGTTTATCTTGAAGAAATTAAATCTCGATTCCTTCATCACTAAAAGGTGAAGGTGACTTCAATTAGAGCCGACTGTCCACACAATTAGCGTGGAAGAGAAGAAATTTGGTCAGAAACCAGTTTCTCATTTCCCACCTGAACTCATTCCTGCTCAGTTTAAACAAATTTGTTCTTGTGCCAACATGGTTCTTTCACTTAAAAGCCCTTTTACCTTCTCAGGTGATTAGCCCCCCTTGATGTATTTATAAGGAACAATTGCATCCCCTCCTTGCCTTGGGTTTCCCAAGCTCAACCAGCCCAGGTCTCCTAGTCTTCTCTCACACAGCAGGCTTTCCATTTGCCTAGGGACCCAAGAGTCTCGCTCTATGCCCGTCCCTGCCTGAATTTACCTTTCCTATACACGAGTGATCAGAACTGGACAGAGAAGGCTGCACTAATTTCTTGTACAATGGCATTACCGTGTTCTTATCTGCACTGAAAGACGTTACCGAGCACATCCTAGGATCACGTTGGTTGCTTATACTCATCCCCTGTTCAGCTACTACATGCAGGGCTTTCTCCACCTTTGTCTTTTCTAGGTGAATGCCCATCTTACAGCAGCCACTCACTCTCTTTAGTCCTTCATTAACATTACTGCACTGCTGACCCCCTGTGACTGCCCATCCCAAGCAGCCAGCTCCTCCCCTGCTCCTTCCCCACCACCATCCCCAAGACACACAACAGTCATGCCAGCCAGTGTGGCAGGCTCCATGACACCATCTCTTGATTCTCCAGGGCATCAGACTTCTGTACTCTGGTAATCCTTGCTCTAGTGGGACCATTGCAGCCTGATGGATTTTAGACTGGCCTCAAGGTCCCTGGACACACTGGGGGCTTGTAACGAGTAAAAATGACTATGTTATTGGTATCAGCTAAGCAATCAACGTTCTGGCCCCATAACCTTCACTTCTCATTGGCTAAATGCCCCCCTCCCTGCCTTTAACCAGTCGCTGTTTTTGTAGACAGCATACTTTGTACATATATGGAAAGAAAACAATTACCTTACAAGACTCCTTGTAAGGAAGGAGGTTAGATAAAATTCACTGAGAGGCTGCAGTGTTAAACATGAAGTTACAGAGATATAAAAATAGTGTCTAAGGGCCTATAAAAATAGTAGCATAATAAGGCTGTATCAGTGTGGTAGGCAAGGATTTCTTGGGGCTCTACTTAATTGTACCAACTATGGCCAGTTCTCCCAACGCTTCTCCATGTGCAAGGAAGCCATGTATCCCATGATAATAAGTTTCACCCCAGCTCCACACAATCATGATGGGGACTCGGACACTGGGGGAAATATGGAGCCCTTGGGGGGCGGGGAGGGGAGGGATGGTGGGGGAGCCAAAGATGCCACAGGCCACCCCCTGTGGTCATAGGTGGTCACAGGGGGCTGGAAACACTGGGACACAGGGGGAAGGTGAATCACCTGCTTTCCCCCCACCTCTGCCCTCCTCAGCTTAAGTGTAGAGTCCAGACAAGGCACCAGATTCCTTCCCCCGCCCCGGGAGCCATTATTTCAGTCGCTCAGCTTTTTCTCCAGGGGTGCCTCTTGGTTTCCACACCAGGACAGGCTGGAAAGTGGCCAAACAGCATTTTTCCCCCTCTCCTCTGATCCAATCCATGGGTGAAGTGCAGTGGGCACTGGCTGGCACAGGCACTCACTGTTTCAACCCCTCAGAGCAACCCTCAATCTGCCTTCCACAATCATAGGCCCATCCCAGCTCCAGACCTGCCCCCCCCACCCTGAGCCCCCTCCACTCCCACTCCTGCAAGCCACGCAGCCTTTCCCCCTTGTCTGCAGGCTCCACATCTGTACGTGGAAGGCTGTCTCTCACGGGCTGGCAAAGTGTGTCCAGGACAGATGGCTGAATACCTGCTGAGCAAAATGTAAGATGTGCATATGAGGTGCTGGCAAAATAAAATCTCCAATCTCCAATTGCAGCCTCTGAGCTCAGGTCTTGCACCATGGATTCCTGTTGCCAGGGGCTGCGAGACTGACTCTAAGATGTGGGGTGAGGTGGGCACACTTGAAGGGAGAAAGAGGCTGCAACTAGATTTAGACAGACTACAAAAGTGGGCAGATGAGAATAGGATGGGGTTCAATGCAGATAAATGTGGGGTGCTGTACCTTGGGAGAAGGAATCCACAGCATACATACAGGCTGGGGAGTTTCCCTCTTGAAAGCACAGAAGCGGAAAGCGATCTTGGAGTCATTATCAACTCTAAGATGAACACGAGCCACCAACGCCAGACCGCAGCCAGCAAGACCAGCCATACCTTGTCATGCATCCAAAGATGCATCACAAGCCAGTCCAGAGAGGTGATCCTCCCCCTCTATGCGACATTGGTCAGGCCACAATTGGAGTACTGCGTACAGTACTGGGCACCGCACTTTAAAAGGGATGCGGCCAGCCTGGAGAGAGTTCGGAGGAGGGCCACCTGCTTGGTGAGAGGGCAGCAGGACAGCCCTATGAGAAGAGACTGAGGGACCTGAACCTGTTCAGCCTCGGCAAGAGGAGGCTGAGGGGGGACTGGTGGCTGCCTACAAACTCATCAGGGGAGATCATCAACAAATAGGAAGAGCTGCATTCTCCCCAGCACCACCTGGAGTGATGAGGAACAACGGTAATAAGCTGATGGAGAACAGGTTTAGGTTAGAGATCAGAAAGCAATATTTTACAGTTAGGGTGGCCAGCATCTGGAACAAACTTCTTAGGGAAATGGTCCTCGCCCCTACCTTGGGCAAATTCAAGAGCAGGTTGGATGATCACCTGCCTGGGGTCTTGTGAACCCAGCATTCACTCCTGCCAGTGGCAGGGGGTCAGGCTAAATGATCTGTTCAGGTCCCTCCTAACCCTAGCTACTATGAAACTATGTAAGGCATCACCCTAAGAAGACTTTGCCTCTTGCATAATTTCTGGACTATCAGCATGGTAGGGCACTGGGGGACCAATACCTGGGCCACATTCATTCCCACAGAGGGGAAGGGGAAGGATGGCTTGGGTATTTAGGCATAATCCAGGGACTTGGGCAACCTAAGTAATTCCCTACTCTACTGCAGACCTCTTATGTGATGCCGAGCAAAATCACTTGGTCCTTCTATGCCTCGCTTCCCATTGGGACATGGGGATCAGAGCACTGCCCCACTCTGACAAGGTATTAAAAGCCAAGGGGTGCTCAGACACTAGAATGGGATGTGGGACACCTAGATGTACCTCCTTGAGGTCTGTACTAATGTTAGCAAACTGTTTAAAAAAAGAAATAAAGCCACCCCCTACTCCCTCCCCACATGAACTTAAACTAATCTGAAATTGTTTTGCAAAAGACAAAACCTAGAACTCCATCAAGCCCCTTACTACGGTGCTTAAATGTGGACACCCCAGCTCAGCTTTTCAGTCCAACCTAATTTAACATGAAGATTGTACAATGAACTGGGGTGAATCAAGAAAGAAGTTTGGGATGCCAATTTTTAAAAGCCATTTTTTTTTTTTAAGTTGCACACATTTGGAAATCTCCTAACAATAGCAGGGGGTGGGTTGCTGTAGGTGCTAAGGTGCATGGTTCACATCCCAGAGGTCACAAATTTGAGGCCACAGCAGCAGCACTCATGGCATGGCTGGTCAGAATCCAACCCATTTCTGAATTTTTTTAAATATCTTGTCACAAGGACACCAAAAAGGAAACAACAACAGGAACAAGGAAAAAGACAAGGGCTCCCAGCTCCGCTTGCCTGTTGTTGTTTACAAGGTGTTTTCAGCAAGCGTGATAACTACCTCAATGACTTCACTGATAGTCTGTTCTAGCATTTTACTGGAAGCAATCACATGATCAAAGGAAACGAGTGATAAGACAATGCATTTTTTTTGCCCTTTGGTCTTTCTCCACCTTAGTGATTCCAAGGGTTATTGGAATCATAACAGGTACAAAGTTTGCACCTACAACAGCTGACCTTGGGCTACCTGGCTCTCATCAGTGTGGGAGTGCCACAGCTATTCCACATCTGGCTCCCTT